CCTTTAAATATTTCCAAATTTTAATTTTGATTTTAGAATTTAGCCTTGTTACCAAAATCGTTGGTCGAAATCGTTAGGGTTATTATGGTAATTTAAATGAAAAAAGAAGATGAGTTTGGGCCGGGTCCACCACGCGTCCATTGACTGGCTCAAGACAACTGTGTCCTCCTTCTACATTCCTGATTTGATTTTTTCTTGAATCGTTACCGCAATGCATGTTACATGTTACATGTTACATGGGAGATTCCTAATTTCCCCCCTGTTTAATTTCCTTCTTGTATGACACGTGGCACTCAGAAAATTTAGTTTTGAACTTGGATTAGGATTAAAAATTTTGCGTAAAATAAAATTCAAATGAAATTTTCTTTTTATTGAGAATTGAGTTTTTCCGACTTACCCGGAAGGCGTCACAATATAGAAAAATTCAAAATTATGCGTCCGCTAGTAACGGTGGTAGAGTATAACATTCAAACTTTTTTTTTTTTTTTTTCTTTTTAATATTTATTATTTCTCATATATAATTAACGCGGTTTAGATTTTAATGGGATTATTATTATTATTATTATTAAAAAATACCGAGTACTGGATTCTCCATATAAAAGAGAAAAATGGAAAGAAGGGAGCAATCGGGTGGTGGTAGGGACCAGGGGGAGTAATGGTATTGGGGCAGGAGAGAAGGATGATTTTAAACGGGTAAGTGGGTCCCTCCACGAGGGTGATGAAGTGGATGATTTTGATTGGGAGGTGATAAGGGAACACAAGCACATGATCTAATCATTGATGATTTAATCATGCATCATAATTTCATTATTTCTGTGCGTCTCTTGTATGTTAGACTTCCTCTTCCGCTTATTTATCATTTTCGTTACTGCAGTTATCGAATTTTTATCGCTAATTGTTTTTGGATAATTTTAAATATCTTTCTTAAAAAGTTTTAAAAGAAATAATATATGATCAGCTTTGACGAAATAGATATTTTAGAAAAGTAAAGCTTTAAAAACTTGCTTTTAAAAATTGAACGTGCTGCATAAAAAAGAGAGAGATGCAAGGAATATGTTGGGGCTGCTACCGTATATTTTCATTTTTTTCTTTTTCTTTTTTCAAAATAAAAATAGATATATTTTTATTAATTAATGTATACATACATACATAATATATATATCAATGGTGATACAATTTATTAATAAGTAGACAAGAAATATATCATATTGAATTATACTTTTTCACCAAAATTTGATGAGTATTTTATTATCACAATATGTAGGAAAAGTATTAAGTCTGGTTTCAATCAATTCACAGTACTTGCAGAGCCTCCAGCTGAGTGGGAGTCGTTGGAACCAATGTTAATCAGTACTTGTAGGCATAAACCAAAAAAAAAAAAAAAAAAAAAGGTATAAAATTAACAAGTCAACTGTCAACCAAATTATGGAAGCTTGTTCAAAAAATTATTAATCATGCATGTAGTCAATATACAATATGCAGTAGTGATCATCTAGGTAAACTGATTGTATTTTTTTTTTTTAAAGTATAAAAAGAGTCAAAAATTAAAAAATTGTTATGCACGTTTAGAAATAAGAGACTCTCATGATATCGTTAGTGAAGAGCTGTTGAAGATCATTCGGCACATCTATGGAGATCCTGCTCATTAATAGGTGTAAAAGTATTAACGTCTATGGAGATCCTGCTCATCGACGGTTTAGGTTTTCGGCGATTTAGGGTGCAGTTGGGAGAAGAAGATGATCCTAAGTTTTCAGAAAAATAAAGTGATAGTTTTTTATGCACCGTGTATGTTATAATTAGCTATGTATGTAAGTATATTTATATGTTGTATATTAATAAGTTAGTTTTTATGTTAACTAACTTAACATTAGTAAGTAGACGTTAGTATACAGTTGGTTGTAATATATATATACCTTTTAAAGTTGATTGTTTCATTAATGAAATTATTCTTTTTTCCTCTCAACTCTCTATTTCTTTCTCTTTCTAGTTCTAGAGCTTTCTTCTTTCTTGCTTCTCATTTATGCTTTTTTTTATGATTCCTATTTGTAATTTGGTATCATAACATTGATAATTTTGTTTGCTTCATATTTCTGAACATAAGATCATCCATCAATTTTGTTTATTTTTCACATAATCATGAAAATAAAAAAAAAAATCTCTACAAATCCACCATAGATGATCCTCTAAGTCTATATTTCTTGCATCCTTTTGATAGTACTAATTTATATTATTTTATAATAATTAACTAAGGATAATTTTTTTTTTTAGAGTTATATCATGTTAATTGCATTATCAATGAAGAAAAACTCTCAGCAAGCATAATCTTCTCTAAAAATGTGACTAACATTTGGACTGATCTTAAATATTATTTTTTATAGAACAATACTCCTTAAATCTACAAGTAAGGCAAGAATTGCTTAATCATGTTCAGGACCAAAGCATTGTAAGGTGTAATTTACAAAACTAAAAGTATCATCGGAGAGAGTTTATTAATTTTAAGTCTATTCATAATTATGGAAGGTGTACTTCTAGTAAAGTAAATGAGTTGAATGCTTTTGCTTCGATAGAGTATGTCATGACACTTTTTATGAGACTAAACTAGACTTACATATAAATTAGGAGGTAATTACTTTTCGTAGATCTTTTACCTTCAAATAATGAGGTACTTTCTTTAGTTTTTTAAGAAAAGAGATAAAGAAGTGTTGCTATTAAAATGTATGACTCTACTACTAGTTTTATGTGGTTACATACAAGAAACAAATAAGTGAAAAGGTAATAAATGTACGAAATGGGACGATTCACATTATACCTAATGTCATTTTTATTGCCATACAGTGACAAATATTATAAGCTTCATAGTTTTTTTCTTAGCTATAAATAGAAGTAAAAGTTCAAAATGTTAAACCTGTTGATCAAGTTAATCCTATTAATAATATTTCATTGAGCTTAACTTGTGATATAAATAAATCAGAGAGGTTGATTAGAAGCTTTGTGTAAACTTGAATCTATCATAATGTCAACAATTTATGTTGTTGCACTTTACTCATATAATGTCTTTCGTAAAAGTTGTTGAAGATTCCACGAAGGCTCCATATTTATGATAAAGATACGTATTCTTCATATATTTTAAATTTTAGATTGTGTTCAAAGGATATGTTTATTTACACAAAGATATATTGACAAATTTAAAGAAAGTTGATAATGTCATAGCGAGTTTGATAAATAAGCTTGTGGTACCAGTGGATATGAATAATGATGTCCATGTTAGCACAAAAGCTAGTGTTGAAAGATGTCCTATATATGCCAAATTTAAATGTAATATAACGTATGTGGCAACCCTTATTAAAAAGTCTTTTCTCATGGTGAAATTTATGCATAATCATTTCATGATTCAAGACACCAATCAACAAAAGATGATTGGTAAGGCTTATTTTTCTCTTCAACATCTTCTCTCAAGCTACAAACTTTCTCAGATGCTGATTCTGCAACTTGTGTAGATTCTCATTAATCAATCACTAGTTATTGTACTTTCTTAGGTGATTTTTCATATTAGGAAATTAGAACTAACTTTAATGCAGAAACAGTAAGATAAGATATTTGTTTTTTTAACCACGAAGAACAGTTCTTAATTATTGACGCTCTTGACTGCCTCTATTTTCTTCCGGATACCACTAGAGTTCCGAATAATCTTCACACCCCAAAACCCAAGTTTGTTTATGGTTTTCCTCTTATATGTTCACTAAAAGTCATAATTTTTTTTTTTTTTTTACTTAAAAGGGTTTCTTTTCTATAGACTCATGAAAAGTCATGTATTTTTAGAAAAGATGTCGGTGAGTGTTCTTAATTTTAAGTAACATAGTACTTATTTATTTTTTATTAAATAATAACTCTTTTATTTTATTTTTTATGTGATTGTAAATTTGAATTAGGAAGTGTATATTTTTGCATAAAATGTTATTAAAAAATAACACAAGAACAATATAATTAAATGAATGTGATGAAGGTTTGCCAAGGGAGACATCGTTTTTGGGTAAGAACGTTCAAACTGATGCTATAAGCTTTGGCTTTGATTAATTTAATTAATTAGCCAAACAGCAGTTAAATAAATTATTTCGTGCTCTGCACTTACCCGCTCCTTTTTCTCTTGTAAACTATATTTTATTGCATGATTGATTGTCTTCAACTCAATGCAACCGTATGAAAGTTAGGTACCATTTTATTCCTTACACTATTAATTATCATAAAGTTTCAATAAATATCGTAATTAAATTTATTATGGGAAGGTGATAAAAGTCAACCCAATATATAAATTGTTATAATATTTATAAAAAAAATAAAAAAAAAAAAAGATAATTTGATTTAGTGAAATCAATTTTTAAATTTTTAATTTTTTTTTGTTACGCTGAATTTGGATTGGAAAAAAGAGTAGTTGTAAATTATAATAAAGGTATGGGCATGATTAAGATATAAGAGCATGACATTTACTAATTTTCTCCTTATAACAATCACTTACAAAGGTTGAACATGAAATGATTGGGACCCAGCTAGTGCTTGCAAAGAAGAGGCACCATTAATTCCATAGACTCTGCTAACATAAGGTTAAAGACTGACCGGCACTAAATTAAGTTGTTGAATTAGTCGTCTTTCATAGAAAATAATATGTACAGCTTTAAAGATTATATACAACTTGTAAAGAGTGTTTGGCCAGTCAATTATAAGATTAACCAATATATACATATCATATATATATGTAGTTAATCCCAAATCCCATCATATGGTTAGAATTGTCCCCAGT